AAACGGATGACACCATTTCGGCTTTATTTTGCGTTGGATTGGGGGCCAACTTCACGCAGATACTCGGATGGCCTGGGAACGCCTCTGCATTCCCCCGGAGGAGCTGGAGGAAGTGTTTGGAGAGAGGGAAGTCTGGGCGTCTTTGCTTAGACTGCTGCCCCCGCGACCCGGTTCCAGATAAGCGGAGGAAAATGGATGGATGAATCATTCCCTATCACATTAAAATAACAATTCAACCAAGATAGTTTAACTTACAGCACATATATTAACCAGTGAAACTACATTTTAATCACTACTGAAACTTCATTAAGAAACCATAAAGCTAATAAGGGTAGAATGAATTCACGACAAACTTACATATCATTTAAAACTACTGAACGAGGCCGGCCAGCTTCTTTGTTCAGAGGAGGTGTGCCATAGGTGCGCTGGGGCTCCACCCTAGGCCAGGCAGAGTGGGAGATTCTTCACAAGACATAAAAAATGGAAAGTTACTTCTACCTGGAGTAAGTTAGCAGATGTGAAAATAAACTGCAGAAAGTCCAAGTTAAAACATAGTAGAAAAATAACTTTACTTGCCTAAATCCTAACCTACCAGGTGGAGCAGATCCCTATTAACCCACAGCTATGGTCCTGATAAGGACTGATAGAGGCCACTGAACAGTGTGCTAATGAAACATATGCACATCCAAGTAACATCACATTCCAAATGGTCCAAATCACCACCACAACACATCGGCTGTGCACTAGTGTCTAGATACACTGACCTTAAAGATAATTTATTTACCATAATCCGAGAATTAAGATGCGACCCAGGAAACCATGTTGTTGGTTCACATGAGGGCTATGACCTCGCCTTGTGGGACCGGCTCTGAGTGTTCAGCTGCTAGATTAGAGTTTTCATCTGAGAAGAGACAGCAGTGAGTGTGATTCTGCTTCCTGAGCCGAAACATCACACTGTAAGTCTGTGCATTAGACTTTTAATGGGAAGAGCCCAAAACCTAATCCCGCAGTGGGATTATCCAGTGGGAACATGCTTTTACATTATGGTTTAACTTTGTATCTTAATGAAGTCTAATAACGTCCTGTTTTTGCAACCAGACTGCATCATTACACCAAATACACTGAACTCCTTGTATTCCTTATTTAATCGTTTCTTTTATAGATTTACACCTCAGCCATTTTGTTAATGCCCTTATCCAGAGAGCATTGCAATGTGTGCAACAGTAGAACGAGCTCACGCCAGCAGCCATCAGGCTGTAATGCTGCCTTCACACCCAAAATAGGAAAATGGAAAGTATTGCTGTTATTTGATCCTCATAATGAGGTACTTTGTCAATAGTCCTGTGCTCACCTGTGCTTTCAGATCAACATCAGCAAGGTGGCATAGCTTCATCTACAAAATGTGACTGCAGTCCTTTCATGAATTGTTGGTTTATTTAACAGGGACAGGAAACAATGTTACAGTACATAAGGAGAAATAATGCAACAGATGCAGTGTACATACTGTATATAGGTGTATATATTTGTATGTGACAAGTGGCTCCATTCAAAACTGTTTCAGTGTTTACATCTATGTTGCTTTGTATAACTCAAATAGTTAGTGCATCAGTGAGATAGTTAAGTCTGTGCCAGAGAGGATGACTGACCGAGTGACACTGACACATGCCCAGGTTTAAAATCACAGCATATTCAAGCAGGCCAGGAGGGTCAGAGGTGGCCCTAACATGACTGTGTTCCTGGAAACAGTCATGTTAGAGAGGAACATTTAGAGAAGTTATGACATGTCAGCTAAGGAGACAGAAATGAAGAAGGGATAAAGGGGATTTGAAAATGGGATCTAAGGCTGACTCAAGATAACTAATCAGGAATTTATCAACTTAGAAACTTTGTAACTTAATCTCTCGTTTTCAGCTAATCTTACTTTTTGTTGTATATTCATGTTTATAATTGAGTAGATTCTGTCACTACAAACTAGAGAAACTGCATCATCACCTAAAATTTCTGCAAAATTCAAAGTAGAAACTAACAAATATTTAGACTGTAACTTATTGCTGTAACTCAGTCTCATGTCTCCTAAATCTCTGCCTTCTCACCTCTTCTTCCTCTGTCTTTATCTTCTGCCTGGTTCACTTCTCACCTTTTCTTTTACCCTCACTCCTTTTTATCTGTCTGACCCAATCCTCTCTCCTCCCTATTTATTTGTCTTTTGTACTCTGTGTTTTTTGTTGTTGTTTTTTATTGCTGGCCTGGCAATGATTTCCGACGCGTTACTTTTTCCCTTGGCTCCTTTTTTACCCACCAACTGTGACATGCCTACGAACCTTGGCCTGATCTACTCGGTCTCTCAACACATTTCAGACATTTTCCATGTTTTGTTTCCATTCCAATTGCTTGTTGAAGCATTTGGCTGTGTTTCATTTAGATCAGTTTTTGTGGTTAACTAACATGTTAGGTGTTTGTTAAATGTATAAGTAGTGTGATACTTTTGCTATGACTGACAATACAGACACACAGAAATAAGAAGATGAGTAGAACCAGTGTGACTTGATCAGTTATCAGATTCCTCCTTAACCAAGTCCTACAAATGATCAGACATTATCTTCTGCATGCATTAGTAAACGTGAATCACTGCAGGAAGAACATGCTATGCTCCCCACTACGAGACAGGGTTATATGTGACTCTTTATGTGGGAGTGACTTTTTTGAACAAAACACTACAATTCTTTCTCTTTCTCAGGTTTAATATAATTGTTAATTAGGGTTGGGATTCTCAAAAGGCAGTGGGTCACATCATGCTGTCTGGAACACATACTGGTGAGTCTGGTTCACATCTGTCAAGCTCTACTCTCAGTGGATGCATTCCAGACATTTGTAGCAACAACTAGCTCATACTGGAGATTTATTTTACCAGCACATTTCCTGTCTGGTCTGGTTTCAGTGTTTCCAGCAGTAGCTGGCAGCTGTTTTCAGCAAACAAGCCCAGCAACCACCATAGACACAGCTAAGAGTCTCTGGTGAAGAAAGCAGACAATAACTACTTTAATGGTGAGATAATATTGCTCTGTGTCTACGGATGTAGGCAACTGTCTGCTAACACATTAGTCACAGCAGCTTTATGAGTCAGCTGGTTGTGGAAATCCTCTGCACCATAGTGATCATACAACAAATTACTGCAGCTTTAAAATGAGAAGATTTGTTTTGTATTTAGAAATACTGAAGAACATACAATGTTTGTGTTGTTATTATAATGCACACAAGTGCAGAGAAACTGCACATCTTGGGTAAATAAACTGCAGCTTGGTGCATCTGTACTGTGACATATTAAAGCAGTGGCTCCCAAACTGGGTGTGTGAAGCCTTCCAGTGGGTCACAGGATAAACTTTATAAGGAAAGAATGCAAACTCTACTTCAGATACACAATAATTAAATACATAATAAAGTTAATAATTTTATCTCTCCAATAATTTATTCAAGCAAAACAATCTGAGATGTAAAAAAGTCATTTGGTGAAACTTCTTATAACATATACTGTATGCAACAGGTGACAAGGAGATGTAAGTAGACTTTTTTTTTTACATTTAAGAACTTGTAAGGAGAAAATGTAACCAAAAAGAGCACAGATATGTGCCAGAGGAGGACAAAGATCTTTGTATTTGTTACTTTCATACTGGAGACATTTCCTACTGACTTAATCAGTGTCAGAACTTAATTTGGGTTAACACAGTGAATCTACAGCATTTCAGTCAGTGAGGATGGGACCATTTTGTTCACCTTCTTGACTTGATTTTTAACTGAAAATTTGTCTCTAGTGCAGTTTTAAATCTATATTGTGTCATTACTGGTGGCTTGATTATATTACTTTATTTTATATTTATTTGATAAGATACTCGTAGTAGGTGAGCAATTAGTACTAAGGCCATTTTCATTCCACCTGTTGTGACCCAGCCTTCTTCACATCTCTGTTATCTGTCATCAGATCACCAGCCCTCCAACCTACAGGATGTAACGCTCGATCTTTTCCCTCTTTTATAAGCCATCTCCTGAAATAGTGCTCCTATGTTGGCAGGCTGAAATGAGAGAACAGCGTACGTCATACCGCCAAGCTTTATGAACGTTCGTCATCATAAACACACGGTTATGATTATGATACTCACAGTTTACATTTAGTCACACAAACTACTTGGTTAGGAGAAAAAGACAGGTTACACTTGAACCCAACACAGTGCTTAGGGGAAAGCCCTGTGCCTCGTGCACCATCCATCCACCTCAACCTCCTCCTAACATGGACTCTGTGGCTCTTTAGACTACATGACCTACCTTCCTCCTTTGCTTGTGTCATAATTACTACACTCACCAGAGGGAGCCAAACTATAATATATGTAACAGTTGGCTGTAATAACCTGCTGGCACACGACATACAGTCATTTTTTTACAGGAAGACAGTCTGTTTGTCTCCCCCTCTGCTGTGGAGTGTGCTGGTCGGTGTGCAAGAGGTGTGTGGGTGCACATCTCTTTTTCTGCAGTGACCCGCTGTTCTGCTGCACTCTGCTTCCACAGCATCCTGCCGGCTGCCTGGCAACGCTCAGTGTCCATGGTAACGGAGCCAACAAACTCCCCCACTCCTCTTCAGCCCATAACCCTCAATTAGGGTTAGTGTGGTAGTCAGGAGAGCAGAGTCACAGGGGGGATTAACAGGGAAAGCTGGGAGGAACCTGGGTGGGCAGCTTTCAGGTTTACTGCAATCAGCCTCAGCTGATGCCAGTGTTCTCAGTGAAGAACTGCTCATTTAAAAGGAAGCAGAAGGGGTCGAACAGAGGTGACTGCTTACGAGTTGACAAGCATGACTGTGAAATGATGCAAAGCTGTGGACAGTATTTTCAATAAACTTTGTTAGAAAAATGAATCCATGTCTTCACACTGAAGGAAGTTACAGAAAAGGTGGCTAATAAATAATAAAAAATATACACTTGCAGATTATTTGGGAAGTAAATATAGAGCTGTACATGTAGAAGTGTCTGGGCTCTCGCATGTAGATTAAAGTCAAGCCTACAACAGCCAAAAAAGAATTAAAAGTAAAAATTTGATTGAATTAAATCAACTCGTCTTTTCCCTTTTCAGGATCTAGATCAGTAACTGTTGACACCTACTGAGACAGTAGAGTTTCTGCTAGAATTGGATCTTAGTTGCAAGTCTATAGCATTATTTGTTTTCTCACTGGAGCCAGTTTTCCTCTATAAATGTGAACATTCTGTAACAGCAGATCTGGAATATGACTTGGATCCAGATGAGACTTTAGTGTGTGGTAGAACTTTTATAGACATTACTGTGCAATTTTTGTCCAATCACTGTGTATACATCTCTGTGAAACTGTCCCCATCAATTGGTGGTAAAAATAATAATCCTTAAAAAACATTCCTGGATTTCGGATGATGATCTGGATCAGCACCAAAATCTAGCAGCTTGTTCTATGGGTTGTACTCTATCTCTCCAAGACATTTAATCAAAATCCATTGATAACTTTCTGAGTTATGCTGTGAATAAGCAAATAAACCAACACATGCCAGTAAAACTGGAGGTAATGAACATATATGAAGACCATATGTCCGGTAGGACGTCACTGTGGTGCCACAGCAGGCAGGACCTGAGCAACATGAGCTTGTATCTACCATAAAGAAGAGGGTAGACTGCACACACACATATTTAAAGTTCACAACTTAATTTAACTTCAGTGGGCTTTACTTTGGAATAACTGATAAGCAAACTGTTAACTGGAATTTCTATGGCGCCATCTTCACCTCATGTTTTATGTTGAGACAACCATAAGTCTTTTACAATGTCCATGTCAAATATACTGTAGGTGGATTTCATTCATTCATTCATTCATTTATCTATTTATTTATCTACTTATTTAGTTTCCAAGTCATATTCCAGATCTGCTTTTTTTTTTTTTACCTGTTTGTGTGTTTTGGACAGGTTCTGTTAGGCCTCCATCTTGCTCCTGCTCAGTCATGGTGTTCTGCCACTGAAACCTTCAGCAGTGATGCCTGTGATCTGCGAGCAGGCCACAGGAAACGTCATCTTCACCTTGAAGAAAAACAGAATCTATGGAAGATTTACAGTTAATATACAGTGTATGTTCTACAAGTTTTAAAGTTGTGTCTATTTGTATGTATGTTATTATACTATTTAATTCAAGGTTTTGATTTAATTTGTAATCTAGTAATAATGAAAGATACACTCTGAAGTGATGCTATTTGTTTTAGCAGTACTAGAAGTTGCATTGTACTTCATTTCAGTAACATTGTCAAGATCCACAGGAGTAATAAAAGCAATGAAAATAGTAAACACCATTTTCAGATAAAGCAATAGGTTTCTCATATCATTTAAAAAGCGTTCAGCACAAATGTGTTGTAGTAAAAACAAACAGCCACTGGAGGGAGGCTTTCATCCAGAAATGGACTGAAGGATGAGACCCCATCTGGCCTGCAGGGGGCGTGATACTCCTGCCTCTGCAGCTCCAGACCACCTCTTTGAGAAGCTCTCACAGGACTCAGGCTGATCTTTGTCTTTTCGTTGATATGATGCTTTGTTGTGTTTCAGCTGTATGGAATTCAGATCAGCGCTGACAGAGCTTTATTCTCCTTCCTATCTGTATTTCTTTTTACTGCACTTTTCATATGACACGATCACAGAAAACATGCCAGAGTGCTGCTGCCTCAAACTTCCTGACTCCTACTTGTTTATATTGCTGACACCAGCTAAGATGCTACACAACACAGGAGCACACTTTCAAAAAGTAAAAAATCATTGAGGATCCTCTAAGATGTGGTTAGTAGACCTGAGCTCCTGAGTGAGTGTGTGGACTCCTCCAGCAGCTTTGTTCCTGCACAAACTCTTTATTTTAGAGCAGTTGCCAAATTACTTTTGAGCATCTTTAAGGGCTTCTCTAAGACGCTTTTGCTCCTGAGGAGTCCTTTACTCAAAGTGGTGCTTAGATAAACTCAATGGGAACAAGAGGTTCCTGAAGACACCTAACAGTTAATGAGCTCCTTCGCTGAAGCTCAGACTTGTAGCAGTTCTCTGTGGATCCACATCAGATCTTAATCAGGCTGAAGCATTTAAAACCAGGGCCATATACAGAATAGAGTGTACTGTATATGGTAATAATCTGGGATGTTGGTGTGGCTAAGATGTCACATCTGGTCTGGTGACATCTCAAGATAGATAATATAAAACATCCAGTACATGTTTGCATCCTAATATGAACTAAACAGTACCACTGTACATCAAATGCAAATGGTTATGTTGTGTCATATAGCTGGTGTCCAGTCCACGGGGACATAAAGTTATAATGAACTGTGATAAATGTATCTGTAGGAAGCTCCATCGAAATGTTTCGCCACTGCAACAGGGTGGTCGGCGTCATGTGTCATCTCCTCTGGGCTCTACACAGAAAATCTGCCGAAACAAAGACTCCCCCTCCAAGAACACAACTCAGGGTCTTTAAAATCATCTGTGCAAAGGAACACATCATGATTGCAGGAAATATAGACAAGACACACTCCAATATTTCATATCAGAAAACAATAATGAAAAATAAATAAATGTATGAACTAAAAATACACACATATCTCTTCACATTCAGTATGAAGTAAATCGGGCATGTCCTGCCTGTAGTTTCACCACAGTTGGCTTCAGCCCTGTTGGTTTTCCCAGGGACTGTTGAAGTCAGAGAAGAGGCTTTACAGCTTCACTAGAACTGGAGGATCACACAGATGGGTGATTCAGATCAAATCACACTCATGTGTCTCTGCTGGTTATGTTCTTAGATTACAGTGACACACTCCTTCACCACACAGTGTCTTTGTTTTCAACAGGAAGTGCATGTTGCTAAAAACACTATTGCTTTTTTAAATACAGAAGCATTCTCTTCCTTCACCTCTCCCTCTTCCTGCTCTTCTTCCTCCTCTTTCCTTTCTTTCCATTGCTTCCTCTTCCTTTCTCTTCCTTCAGTTTCCTCCTCTTCCCTCCTTGTTCTTTTCTATCTCCTACTCTCCTTTTTAACCTCTCCTGCTTCCTCCATCTTGTCCTTCTCCATCTCTCCTTCCTTCCTGCCCTTCCTCGTCTTTCTCCCCCCTCCTCCTCCTCCTCCTCCCTCTCGTTTCCTCCTCCTGCTGCTGTCCCGTGTGAACAGAGCTTCTTTTCTCTCCTCTCTCCTCCTCTTTGGATGCCCGCCCGTTTCTGGAATTCAGAAACACCTCTCACTTTTAATTTATGTGCATATTAATTGCCCTCCATTGTAATTTCCACCGTGGGATACAACATGCAAATGTGCCATGCATTCGTGCGTGTGTGCGCGTGCGACCCCCCCAAAACACGCCACAGACATCTCTGCCTTCCCCTTCATACACTTCTATCATTTCACTCGCAAGTGAGTGTATTTAGAAAGTTGTAATGACATGTTCTATTATTTTCCACAATTTAAAAATATTTTTAATTAGCAAAAACATCAAATGAAATAATAGTTTTCGCTCTGTATTTATTAAATATACCATTGCCTAATATTTTATTTTTTTTATCATGATTTCACTACAGGGAAAATGTGAATTTTTAGGTTTGAATAAGACTAACGTGTCCTTTAATACACACTTAATTCTTCTTGCTTACAAAAGTAAGCAAATCATTGTCACCCCCATAAAAGTATTTTCTCCTTAATCCCTGACTATTACTGAACCTCCTGCACGGCCATGGTCCCTGAAATGAGAAGCAAATCTAAAAAAAAAACCATTTGTCATTATTTTAAAAACTCGATAAATTGGACTTCGGCCAGTAAAGCTGCAAACATTTGGACACCATTCCTCTGAAGATGTTTATAAAATAAAATGGTTGAGCTTCCTGTGTGGTGATCAGCAGTTCCCCTCCCTGACCTGAAGTTGATCCAAAGCAAAACAAAAAGGTTTTTGGTTTTTTCTGTCTCATGTGTCCTGTGTTGAAATAAGAGATAAAGAAGGAATCGGACGCAGCTGAGCGACTGTGTGGCAATGAAACCAGATTTTATTTTTAATTTGCAGCTAGAACTGGGTCCAGTTATGTCAGAGAACTGTCAGTAACCTAAAACCTGCCAGCCACGCGTCGTTGTTTGAATTTGGCTCCAGAACCTAAAAACCTGAGTTCACGAGTTGGGTCTGAAAGCAGGTCTAATCTGTGGGTTTAATCCCAGCAGCCAGTCCCATACTGTAAATCACTAAACGCTGCGTGTTCACGTTAATCCCACGTGTGATCCCCTCACACACGTCAGTGAGCAGCAGCACGAAGTTCGCGACGCTCCGAAAATGTTTCCATCTGCCCGAAGACTTGTTTCGATGAAATCTGCAAATATTTTACCCATTTTAAATAATCTGTTAATCTCTTCACACAACTGGTAGGTAGGTCTCTTACATCGTAGCAAATGGCCCTTAGCGAGTTTTTTTTTTAGTAAAGTGAAATTGTGCAGTGAAGTGAGTCGAGTTTTTTAATCTTTTATTATAAACTTTTAACCAAAAAAACTAAAGTTAAAAAAAAAAAATAGATTCAGTTAAACGACTCTAATGACGTGATGTAAAAACAAAGTGTTTCGATTGTTCTCATGCTGTTTGAAAAAGAGGATTTCAGAAGCAAAGGACAAATCATCATTAATCACATTTATGTTAATTTACCACTGAGGACGGCGCGTCCGTTCGCTGCTGCAGAGAGGATGTGCGCATAAACTGGTCTCCAGTCAGTGATCAGTCACTTCTTTTTAAATCGCCCATTTATTTATTTTCACTTTTGTTAATTTCACCAGAAATTTCGCATCATAAAAATCCGCGTGCAAAAGATCATTTGACATAAAGGCTTCACGGCATCTGGAAAAGTGAAAGGTTTCGCACTTTCAAGGAAGAAGGAAAATGTCAAAGCATCGTTAACTAAATAGAAATGACTTTACTAGTTTCTCCCTTTTCAGCACACACACACACACACACGCACAGGCCCGACCAGGAGGCTACTCACTACCAGGTCAGTGTTACTGTCACACGACTGAGTCATTAGCGTTACTGTTATTTACATTACAAGATTCGCAAATTATAACACAACGCATATTTATAAAGGTATGACAAATAATCGACATCTCCCCTTTCTCTCACTCCAGACACACACATACACACACATCAGTCATTCCTCCACACACGCCCTCCGCCACCCTTCATGTTGCGCATTGCGCATGTCCGCGTTGCAAAAGCATTAGGCAATTAATTTCACATTAAGCAGCACCAGATCATCAGTGGCACCACGGAAAAAAGACACAGCCAGAAGGAGAGGAAGTCAAACCTGCACACGTTCCTCGTGACAACCTGCGGCTGCTGGAGGAAATGCGTCACAAACAGCCACAGGTCACCGTCAGTAACAACACAACACAACAGCCTTCAGGCTCCGTGTGTCACTGCTCTCACAACATGTCCGGCAGAAATGTTCACATCGAACCTGACCACAGCAAGGCAGGTGTAATACACACAGCGTGCAGGCTGTGGCCATTTTAATAGGTACCCCTACATGACTGAATGTGATCCAGTGCAACAGGTCTGCCTCTGTTGGGGACGACTGTATGCTCAGGCTTGGTTGACCCGGTCACAGTGGTGGTGCTGTGCTAGTGTGCTTCTCGTCTTCTTACCTCTTCATGTTTGTCCAAATATTAAAAACACCTCTCAATATAATGCATTTAATTTCAGCTCCACTGCAAACAACAAGCCCAGTAATAATCACAGGCTATAGTTTAATTAGTGCCTCTGGGACGGTGTTAATCTGAACTGAACATCGCTGTCTTCATTATGCAGATGCTGTACTAGACTTTACAGGTGTACCTAATAAAATGGCCACTCGTTGTAAAATGAACAGTCAGACATTGAACCTATATATACATAACAAATGATGGTCTTTTATACTGTAAATCGCCATTAAGGTTGTGTGCATGGCTTTGTTATTATTAAAGAGTTGAGATGGAAGGACTTTTGGGTTGCCAGGTTGTGAATAATTCATCTGTAAGGTTTTTAATCCTCCATCAGGACATGCCCTCGTTTTAGCTCTTTAAAACCCTCTAACAGAGCACCTCATATAAAAAAATCTAAATATTACCAATTTATTGACATGTATAGCTGCAGACCTGAAAACCCACTATGCATTACTAACATTTATTAGTAAATTGCTACTAAATAAAAACACCTAATGGGGTTTTCACAACCTACTGGCAACCCAGTGCGTTGCTCTTATTAATGGCTTATAACTGCTCTACAATATGAGGCATGCATAAACGATTTATTAACTTTTGATAAAGCCATTAGTTTCATCTTATAAACCTTTTATAGAGGGCGACTCATCAGGACGTGGTGCCCAGATGAATAAACACAACCAACACTGTGTGTATTGGACCAATGTGTACACACTCTTCAATGGACAAAAACTCTTAAAACACCTCTTTTTTAAAGAGAAATGTACATGTCCATTTTTAAATCTGAGCGTGTCCTTGCAGAATAACGACGTTTATTCTGCTTCTTAATATCACGAAAAATGCCAGTAATTAAATTAACACAAAATCATTAATAAATGTTATATGCAAATTAAAAAGTACACAGGTGGGTTATATTTTGAATATTAAGAGGTGGAGGAGTATGCAGCATTTCTGCTGGTGTAAAGATATAAACGTATTTTCACATAAATAGAAAATTCTGTGAAAAATTCAGCCATTTAAAAAATCTCATTAATTGCTCGTGATTTATGGCGCTAATCTGAAGTGAAGCCCTGCGGCTCCTCAGACTTATATTTTCAACATGAATCTGCATCTGAACAGGATCAGTGTATGCTGCTGTAATATGCATTTAACAAATAACATTAAATGTATCTTAGAGCCTGTAAATAATCAGTGTAAACACCATGACTTAATGTGTGAGTGCGCGCAGCTTCACCCTAAAACATTTATTAAAGATTTGGGAAAAGAAAAAGCCACGCCAGGCCTCTGCCATCCATTTGAAAATCCTTCTCTTCTGAGTCCACATGGAAAAGAAAAATCATCCCCTCGTTTCCCTCCAGCACCGACATGAATTTCTGACTCATTAGCATTTATGCAAATGAGTTTCTAATTGCAGGCGTAATGACTCTGGCGTGGGAGATTTTTCAATCCGCCATGTTTTTTGTTACTGCAAGCTTTACAGGATGCATTTTTCTTCTTCATTTATAAAACAAAAGGGACATTTCTCTTATTTCCAGCCGCTCATCCGACAGGAATCCTGCTGGAGCTTTATGTCACATGTAGAAAGAGTGACAGACTTTTCCTTTTACAGGCCGCGTTTATCTGTGGCATCGACAAAAGGCTTTTTCTCTCCCTGCTCAGCGCCGCAGTGAAGCCCTGCTGCCCGGGGTTTGTGGCTTTAAAAGACGCAAAGGATGCCAGAGGACAATCTAACTTGGAGGTGAGTCTGGAGATGTGCAGCTGCAGCCCAGAGTCGCCTGCCAGAGCCTGTGGCTCCTCTGATGCAATGTGCGCAAAGAAAATGGAAATGCAAAATGGCAGCACATAAAGGAAGCCGGCGGTTGAGGGGAAGCCGCAGTTTGAGGACTGTAGCCTCAGTGAAGCCAGGTCAGGTTTTATTTATATAGCTCAGTGTCACAAATCAAAATGTTGCTTTAGTGGGATTTACAGTGTTTTGATGATGTCATTCAAAGAGTTTTATTTTGGAGGGAAAACCAAGCACGTATCCACCTCAGAGAAATAAAAGTTTCTGACCCTTTTTATAAATGTGTGTCATAAATGTAATGAAGGAAAATCTAAATTCAATGTTTTGTGTGATTTCTAATTGTTTTCTTTTGTCTCAGCTCGACCTTGTTTTATATTTACCCCTACACCACTGCTCCCTGCTTAATGAACTGCATAGGCGGACAGTGGTGTGCGTGTGTGTGTGTGTGTGTGTGTGTGTGTTTGTGTGTGGTGGGGGCACTCTGGCTGATTTGGCACAAGGAGTCTGTTTGGCCCCCACAGAGCTGCTACAATATGGGCAGATTTGAGGGACAAAAGACCTGGAGCTTTGAGTTGCAGAGCACGTCTCTGACACTGGGCCACTGGTGTACTGGGCATACTGGGGTGTTATACTGGGAGACACTGAAGCAGACTGCTGATGTGGCAACAGGGGCTGACACAGTTTTACCTGCGGGCTTTACAACAGGTAGCACAGTGCTGTTGGGATGAATTCCTGTTGGAAACCCCAAATGTGAAAACACACTAGGCAACATTTCAAAATAAAGGTGCCAAAAGCCAAATTTTACATTTGTAGAGGGCATTTCTCTGTGATAAGCCTCAGAGGTTTAAACACTTCACTTTGGGCTGATCTCCTCAGAGATTTCCTGTCATCTACCTGAAAACAATCTGTCCATCTTTGCTGTTCTGTGGAGCCACTTGTTCCATGTAGAACTCGTCACTGTGAAGACAAGGCCAAAATAAAATGGTCAGACATAACAGAAACACATTTAATATCAGAGATGAAAGAGATGTGACCATATGAGGTGCATCTGAAGAGTGCTCATCTTTTTTACATGCCAGACGTCCTGACTCATGTTCCATAATCTCAAATTCAAATTTCAATTGTTTTTTTTATATTATCACAAGGGGCGGATCCAGCAGATGATGAAAAACAAAAGCCTCAGTCAGCAAACAGAATCAGTCTGAACGGACACAGCAACGGGTGTTCAGATGATATCAGGAGGTTTGGAGTTCAAGTCCTCAGCAGCACAGTGTTTTAGATGGAAGAAGTGTGTGTGTGTGTGTGTGTGTGTGTGTGTGTGTGTGTGTTACCCTTAAGAGCCAGACCTCACTGGACAATCATTCTATTCTGCTTTTGAATGAGAATAAATGTTATTTCTCCTCACATGTAGAACGAACTGTGGCTTCAACCAGACACCATTTTACTGCAAACACAGTGAGACCCACAGTAAAGCCTGCTCCTCTCATTTATAAGAAAATAATGCAGAAATTTTAAATGACAGACTTTGCTAACTAAGGCTTGCAAAGACTAATTTTTGTAATAGAACTCTCACTTCTCTTATGGTTTATTTATGAAGTGGAGTCTAAAGAACACACTGAACCTCACTGATGCCTCAGTAAAGGAGAAAACCCTGCCTGCAATGAAACAAAAGAACGATTTGTAGGACAAACAAACAAAAAACAAGGGAAAAAATGTTGTATTAATTCTAACCTCTGACACATTTGCTGTTTTCTGTTTGTCCTGTCTGCACTGCTGCCTGAGCCCCCTTTTTTTGGCTCTCGGTTCTTATTCATGGGAGCGTTTGAGATGCCGGTCAGCAGCCGACACAGTTCAGTGACTGTGTGTGGGCTGTAAACCCGTCCTGCTGCTGGTTTAAAGACATAAGCTGCGATCCAAGCAACGCATACACAAAATTCTAAGCACAAGACAGGTCAGTTCCTTCCATCGTTTTGTTAGGTGCTTGGTCATAAAGCACAGATCTAATGGATGCTGGCCAAAACAACAAAACACCTGCCAGTCTTACGCAACCCAACACAATGGTTCAACAGTAATGAAGCTCGTTGTGTTGAGACTGTGTGAATTCAACATCGCTGTCTTTTTCAAGCCTGTAGTTGGCTGTTGTGGTACAAAGACATCTTTCCAGGCACAGTATAATGTTTTGTGTTACTCTGTTTCACTGCACATGCTTTTAGTTTAATAAAATTCAGGGATGCTTTGGGGAAAACAGTAGAATCTCTTGGTCTGTACTGCAAGTTAAAGAGTGTCACAGTTCTAGCTGCAATCACATTGTCAGATGTTACTAAATGAGGCTGGACATCAGTACCTTTACTCAGATCTGTGCTCTAGTCCAGTTCTGAGAAGCTTCACTTGAATATTTCCATTATTTCTACCAGACAACCACAGTTACTTCGCAGACTAGGATTCTTCCCGTCAGACATTATTCCAGATTAAACTAGCCAACAGTAAACCAGAAGCTGCACTTTGAAAAGCTAAACATTCTGCTCACACTTTAGTGCATCAGGAGTGGTTATCCTCTGTTTGAGGTTTACATGCTGGTATTTCTCATCAAGCCTTCTCTCTCTTAGGTTCCAGGCTAGTTTCACTTGTGGTTAAATAAGTTACAAGTCCAGTCATTGTTCTGTTTCAAGTAATTACTGGCATGGTTGTTTAGGTTGCTGCAATATGGTTGGATCCTAAAATTATAATTCACTTTGCAGTTAAAGGCCCACTTGCCATTGTGCATTTTAAGCATATAAATCCCACCTATTAATCCAGCTGCTGTCAGGGAAAATCTTCATTTAGACGCACATACTTAAACTAAGAGCTGGTCCTAAAGCTCTGGACGGCAGGGCAAAGCCAATGGAGTAGGTGGGGGGATAGAAGGGATGGGGTGAGGGGTTAACCAGCAAGCCCTGCAGAAATGGTCCTGATGAGTGCTAATGAACTTGGGATGTGCCACCACAGCGCTGAGCGGCCCGTGGTCCAACCACCTCGGGGTCCGGGTTCCCATGCATCGTATGGAATAAGAGAGAGGGATGATGGGGGAGGGGGAGAAGTGATGGGGACGAAGGGGAAGGTGGGGGGAGTGGATGGTTAACCCAGCCTATTGTGCACCCCTTCTTAGCCCATTAGCCAACACCAACCACTCCGCTTTCCCAAGAGGAGCTTGAGGCCTGCCTGCCTGCCCGCCCGGATTCGGTAACCAGGCATCGGCGCGGGCGAGAGGAGGGGAGCAGAGAAACAGTAGCCGTATTTAGAGTTTGATCTCCAGGAAAGCGTCCAAAATTTGGAAAGAAAGAAAAGGGGAGCCCAGCACATTGGTAGGCAGAGAGAGCCCCCAACAACAAACCGGGGCTTGACAAAGTTGTCTCTTTGGCAGTCGCGCCTCCTATTGAACCAGTAATTTATTCAAAGGAGATTTTTATCCCCGCGATCTGATTATTATGATAATCAACTGACCCAGACCCCTTTTCTTGGCTCTTGTCTGCGGGCTCTGGGCTCGGCGGTGACAGTAAAAGCTGATTTGCACGGTCTTCACCCCCTGGTCACATTCCTGGACTCCTCTGTATCAAAGACGCAGACAATGAGACTAGTGGATGTGCGCACTTGATCGAGGCGCATGAGCGGAGGCCGCAGTCTCCGCCGGGGGCTTTGTGACAAATGAATACTAGTAGCCAGACAAGATTACACGAAACTTTTTATAATCCCACATGGGCCAAACAGGACTCAAAACGACACACTTGATATGTGAAACTCTCGAATAGACCAACAATAGAAGCAGCACAGAGAATGCTACAGCTATGGAGGCGCTGAAGAGGACCGCTGGTAAGCAATTAGGGGATTAATTATCAATCTGGGCATCAGATTTCATGTCATGTGAAGATGGACGCCAGTATTTTTGAAAATCCTGTTTGATTTAGTCTTAAATGTGAAATGAAACAAACAAACTCAACATGAATCTATTTTATTAGTTTCCAGGATTCTGATCCATAAGAGCAGAAGAACACGAGCATCCATGTTTATCCACGACCACGTCTGCTCTCTGTTTTAGAGGGTGGAGACAAAATCAGACCTGCATCGTGTCATAAAGGGGAGGGCCTTGGTGCTGGTATATGTTTTTAGAAAGGGCATCTTTTAAGTTCATATTGCATCTGGCGCGAGGAATGGCGAGTGTAAGATACCGCTCGGGCAGGAGGGGGGTGGCGAGATCCACCTCCCCGGGAAATAATGGGGATGATAATAAAACAGGAGGAAAACCCGTGTGAGGGAACCTGAATGGATGGAGCCAGAGAGACGTCACGACCAGCCGCAGCCATGAAGACTGTGCGGTCCAGCCTCCGACAGCTCACTTGGTCTCCATCTCCCGAGCCGCTCGCTTCGAGGTTTTGGTGAGCGGACGCCGCAGCAACTCGCAGGCGACGGCGTGAGTATGAAATGTCACCTGTTTTCTTCAAAGGGGTGAAGGCGAAGGCAGGTGCAGAATATCAGCTAAAATAACGGAGGAAAACGCATTCGCATCCGCGCCGTATACGTCGCCGACCTGCACACATGCGTGTGCGGTGTGGATGTGGCAGCAGCAGGCGAATATGTGCAATGGGTGTTTGTGCAGCTGGTCTTCAACTCTAAATTTAACACATTTCATGCTTCTGTCCTGGTGCACTGAGGAGTGTAAAGTAGAAGGCGATGTTTCACTGAGAATGTCAGCGAATAAGAGATAGAAACACATGGCTCGGCACAAAATCTAAACAGTTAGTTTTGTATTCAATTAGACAGAGCAACTCTAGTTAATTAATTTTATAAACGGAGTATGGAACAGCGCTCGGGTCCAGTGAAAGGTCACAGATGAACACGCAGGAGCAAACCTGCTCTCTATGGGTGAGACAGCAACTTGTAATTAGACGTGGTTTGGCTCTGCTTTGAGGGAGAACTCTTTTTTCGCAGCCTCAATGACGCATTGTGCACAGGTTTATGTGCCATTCACAGGGCGCCACAAAGGCCAAAGGCGCTTCCAGACCTGATTTCATTTTTTAAACACACCTCCAGGCACCTAGCAGGGTCATCTCTCCAGCTCTGTTCGCTGTGGCAGCGGATGCGGCCGAAATAAGCATGGCACCAAAACCCGCTCAGTCTGACACGACCAGGGCCTGGGGACAGAAAGAGGAACCCCTCTTCACTGTCCTTTTTCCCAAAGCCCTTGCGGGACTCTGTGGCTCAGATATGAGGATTACCAAAAGACAGGCCTGCAATGCACGCGTAATAAGACAAAGTGGTGGCAGTTCACACCCATAGTTGAGGACTAAAGGGATCAGAGGTCCAAATATCCGCTTCACATGTGTGCACCGAGTACGAGGCCTGTGCCGGGAACACGTGTGTACCCCGGACACACCGAGGGAGAAAACCGAGGCTCTAGAGCTTTGAAGGAGGGTTGATGCAAAAATATCTGCGATTATGCAATGTTTGACATGAACATGAATGTATCAGTGTGCATGTACACAGAGGCCAATGCATGACAATCAGAATGAATATGAAAAAAGGACGGAGGTCGTTGACCTAAGACCCAGGTTCATCTTAAAAGTGAACATTTGGAATTTAATTTTAGAAAATTGTTACTTTTACAATTTTAGGGTTTTTATTTATCTAGGCATTAACTGAGCTAGCTGCGCCACACACACACGGAGACAAAGTTGTGTGTGCCATGAAGTGTATGTGTATTTCACACCCACTGACCATATTCCTTTATGTTCAAACATACAGCCTTAGGTTGCACAGTGTATTGTGGTTGTGTATGATGGCACAGTGACAGTCCTCGACTTCAGCACAGTAACAATGTGTGAAAACACTGGTGCTTCTCCTGGTCCACGCGGCTCAACTCGGCATCTTCTCACGCCCGACATCACTGTCTTCTTACACGCATTTTTCCTTGTAGAGGAAGTGCAGTTTACTGCTTGTCTTCACTGTGTGAACGAGGGCTGCACTGTGTAAAATGGAGCAGTTTGGCTCCTCTGTGCTGTGTAGTCCATCTAAAGAATAAAACGATCGTCTCTTTTTTCCAGGGATGTCTGGAGAGACGTTCAGCGGCCTCTCAACACGTGGCTTACTGTAGGTAAAATGGGCTTGTAGCTCGTAGTTGGTCACAGCACACACCTCTCCCGTGGTCAGGCTGGGGACTTTGGGAGGTTTTATATTTTATATTTGAAGAAATAATAACTATAGGGTATTTGATTTGATTTGATTTGATTTGATTTATTCTTTCAAGCATGTAAAGACAGTTGATATATCAACACACATAATTTTACACATATCCAACAAATGCTAATCCAATATCAATTTGCTTATACCTAGTACATGCTTGAATGGAGTAGGAAGAAGTCAGACTTATCCAGTCCTACCCCCTGACATCATCTTACCATCATTGGTTTGCAAGCAGTATCTCTACATAAATAATTCTCTTCTACACCACACAAGTAATATACTAAAGAATTATAACAGCGTGTTAAGAATAAAACGATCGTCTCTTTTTTCCAGGGATGGTACACAGTCAGTACGTAGTTATTACTTATACATAGAATTATAGTTTTCAGGTATAACAGCATTTAGGCTACGTTGTTTTAAAAGCGTGATTTCCTAAACGGAAACGATAATAATTTCATGCCAAACATTTTGCTGTTCTTTTGTAAAATCCATCCAACATCAGGGAGTTTTCTTTACTTAACAGGACGTGAGGAAAATTAATTATTTGATCATCGATTCCATCCTACCAGCCCCACACACACGCACGCACACACACACACACACACACACACACATTTTTAAATATTGCTTTAATGTGCGCGTAAAATACCTACTCTCTTGGTTAATTGCTTTTTGCTGCCTCAAAATGCAGCATTTAATCTGCGAGTGCGACCTGTGTCATAAAATGGCATAAAATGAAACGTTCTACCCGGACATTACCGAGTGGTGTTAATCTGATGATAGCCAGTGAGACGTCGTAATAGGAATCGATTTCTTGCTAATCAACTCTGCACCTTGTCACAAATTATTTCCGTTGAGAAGCGCCGGATTTGTTGACGTCATGCAAGTCTTGGCCAATGGCACAGCCTGATGAGGATGGTTTAACTGGTGGAGAGAAAGAAACTGGAGCTCGATTCCTTAAATGCATTTTTGGATTTAATGTGAGCTCAGGTGATTCCAAGCAAAGAGGCCGCAGCAGGTGTTTAAATGTCTGCAGAACTGAGACTCTTTAAATCTCCACCAAGTTCATTCTCTAAACTCGGTGTTAATTTCCAGGGTGATTATGCATCATGAACAGTGTGGGGATAAAATCCCAGATAATAATTATTGAAATTGCGTCATTGTTTAGCGTTATGTAACAAGAGCACGGTCACGGATAAGCCAGTGTTAATGAAGGGACTATTAATGGTAATGGGGAAATAAGTGCAATCTACATATAATTATCTCCCTCTTTATCCAGCCTGGAAATCGTGAAAATATATCTGATCTAAAAAACGAGCGATAAAGCTCAGAGCACAGGCTGCAGCGACTGAAATGATCATGTTAATATTGCATCGTCCCCATACAAAAACAATACTGAGATGGATTACTGATGAGTTTAAACACCAGAATCAACCTCTCAATTAACAGCAAAACCTAGGTGCTATTTTAATCAGGCAAAAGGAGACTCAAACATTTCTCAGGATTTTCAAAACAAATAAATGGAAACATTGCAGGTTATTATTGTATTTTTAAATACTGAGAGTGATGAGGAAACGTGGCCATGATGGAAACAGGGTAGTGAAAGTGTCTTTTAATTTTTTATTTTATTTTACCAAAAATAAGTTTGATCTAATATCGGTATGACTGCAGCTGTGAGTGTGTGTGATTACACCTAAGCCTGGGTCAGTGTGTAGTCTGACATCTGTAATATTGCACCTGAACATGTGGAAGTTACCTGTGTGTGTGTGTGTGTGTGTGTGTGTCCAGCAGCACTCTGATAGCTGACACGTGTTTCTGCTGTTGAAGGGCTTTGCTTTGTCCTTGTGGATTGACACAAAGCACCATGATGAAAAAATCTACATGTGTTTAGACAGTAGAAGGAGAACGCCAGCTGTTTATCGTAACCTAGAAGGAGAACAATGCCAGGGGGGCTTTGTTGTTTGCTAACAGGGATGTAGCTGTCCCTGCTAACACCTACATTTCCAGCCAAGACGTGTGTTCAGGTTTGGATGTGCATGGTGGAGGGTGATAATATTCCATGCCTCACCCTCCTCTGTAGTTCTTTCTCTCTCAATATCTTTCCATCTCTCTCTCTGTTTTCGGCTTTACTTGGTGGGGGAGGAGCCACAATGGGGATCTGGGCACACTGAGCAGCTTTAATTAGCTGGGGCCTCGTGCCATGTGCCACCATAGAGAGTGTGCTTGTGTGTGTTACAGGATTGTCTATTCTTGTATATGTTTCGTGTTCATTTAGCTTAATTTTTGTGTTCTGTGGACATTTTCAGATGTGAAATGATACATCAGCTACACGTGCCTCATGCTCTGATAAGTCTGTGTATTTGTATTCCATTACTGTTAGTGTAAATGTGAGGACATTTTTTTCATCTTAAACCCCTCTCTCTCTTTGCTTTGACGCCCACCCCGAGCGTTGGCCGACTGCTTTGGCATCAGATAATGTAAATGAAGACAAACCAGCTTCTTTTGTAGTCAAACAGCCAGGATCTTCTTTTAATTTAAAACTGCATTTGGGCCGTGGCGGGGGGTGGTGTTTGAAGCCATCACCCTCCTATAGAGCCAGGCAGTGGGTGAGGCGGGTGCGTCAGGGATGGGCGCCAGGCTGGAGAAGGGACGTTTGGCACTGTAGCTGGTTTGGACTGGTTCAGCAACTTGCTTACATTTTTTATTGGTGCCTCTCACTGACTGTTTGACTTTGGGGAGTTTTTGATATAGACACATTACTCACAGGCCAACCAAAGCTTTCTTTGCACAAAGGGAGGTTTTCTATTGGCTGTAGTGGTTTGAGGCGGGGTGAGGGGCCACTTCATGATATTATAAAATTAAGGGCCAGGAAATTTAAGGGCCACTGTAGGCCCCAAGCCAGAGCAGCAACATCGTTGTTTGGTGTTGGCATTTGCAGCCATTTGATTTTCTTTTAGCCAGATTTTGCTAATTTTTGACATGAATTTTAAATAATTACCAAGTCAGCCTGTAGTCCTTCAAATATGTAAAATTGTAAAGATAGAGACCCTGGTTTATTAACAACATTCTCATCTGCTGATAGGTCAGAGCTTGCGGCTCTGCGGCTCGAGAGGATGGGTAGCCTTAGGGGTTGGTTGTTATCTTTGGTTATCTAGCTGTATGAGTGATGTACATTCTTCATAAAGCTAGATAACCGAAAGTAACAAGAATCCCATTACACTCCTGAAAAGGCATCAAGACCCCAAATACGTCTCCCTCCCGAAACTACTGCTGCAAGAACATGAGGGAAGAAAATGGATGGCATATAAAAAAGATGTGGAAGTAGAATGCAACAGAAGGTAGGGTGCATGATTTTGGTGTCTATTATATGTGTGAGAGTGTATGTGTGTGAGGAAACCCCAGGCCACAAGGCCATTAGATAGACCTAACCTTCCTGTGAGGCCCTGTCTATACTTGTTATTTTGATCCATCAACATTTAGAAATGCAGAATACTGTTGCTAAAACCAATGGGACACTGTCGTGCACATTTCCTACAGCTCCCCGCAGTGATCCATAGCACTACGGCTGGTGCAACAGGATCACTTTTAATCTAATAAACCCCATGGTCCTGTTGTGTGGGGCTGCATGCAGGGGCTTAGCTGTAGTATCACATGGCTGGGAGTGACAGGCTTGCTGAAAAATACCTACACTGATTCACCAGAGCCAGTGGACTTTGACAAGTCGTTTAACAAGTCAGTGTTAGCTTATCACTTGGCTAGACAGTTTGGTCATTGCTCTGTTCACTTGGCTCCATGAATTTCAGATTTACTGCATTCATCTTTGACATCAAGAGAACATGCACTATGAAAAGAATGTGGGCCTTTTCTATCATAGGAGCTGCATACGGTGCTATGAATTATACATACACTCTGACTTGGATGGGATTGTGTGAATTAAGAATGCTCCCTCCGAGTTAATCCTGGCTCCCAATGCCCCGCTGGCACCTAAGTGAACAGACAAGAATTTGTTTGAGGCCAGTTTTGTTAAGTTAGCTGTTGTTGATTTTTTTCTCCTTCCCACCTACTCCTTTCTCCTTTTGCATAAAAAGATGTTTGATTTGGGGTCCTGGCTGTTTGATTTGACGTGACAGTTGGGCTGGTTGTGAATGGGCCGTGGCAAAGCTTCCATTGCATGAGGTGCTGCCATGTGAAAAGGCCTGATGGGATCTCAGTGAACGGTGCTGTGTGTGTGTGTAAGGCTCCGAATGGGGAGTGGTCCAGGGGCAATCAAGCAGAAAGTACCCCCAGGGAAGAAATCCACAAGTGAGAGGAGAACAATCTCAGTCTTTAGGTTCTTTGCGTGGGCTCATGGTGAGGAGTAATTGGTCAATCAGATCTTCAACCTCAAGTCCTCTGATGACTGATTGAAGGTGTGATTTCTTTTCTGCCCGTCAAAGCTAGAGGGTCACTCCTGCTGGGTGAGGCCACTAAGGATAGTTCCCAAGGTCTCAAGGCTGTGGAGCTACACTGCTAGCAGTGAACTTCAACTGTAATACCTATTCCACATGGCAATTTGCTGTCTCAACATGTCTCAACTAAAGCATCACTCTCATGTCTGGTTATATTCAACTTGACATAGTACAAATCCAAACAGCTGTGCAGGGCCAAAGAAAAAATCTCTAAAAGCTTGCATGGCAACATCACCTTATGATGTCAACCTCTCCAAGCCCTGCAGCTTGTCTGCCTGCTGCATTGCAGGTGCTGAGTGTGACTTTTGAGCTTTGAGCTCAGCTAGTAAGAGAGAGGAATGAGAGCCCTGACAGGAAGTGACAGCCATAGATGTCACCCTCTCTGATGGCAAAGTAGGACCTGGTTCCTTCTCTAATGTGATGCTATCACCCATCTACTGTTGCTGTCGACTGTATATGAGCTTGGCATGGCTTTGTCCTGTTACTGTAAATTACAACTTGTGCTTGACTAATGTCCAAGCACATGCACCTGTGTGCAGGCACATGTTGCATTTAACAACCAAACATCTAACAGGTACAAAACAGGCTGACGTTGCTCAGTATGAAGATAAGTTGTCTTACCATTTCTGTGCCATTTACAGTGCTGGGACTAAATAGGAACTGAAGTCTTTGACAGATTGTGTTTATACCCTAAGCAGTGCCCTGGGAGATGCATGTCATGGTACAAATGCTTTGTCTTGGCTTTGTGTGTGGTACAGTTAGATCACTAACACTTCACACTGGAGACCCCAGAGTAGAGGCCATCTTAGCTTCTGCCTGCCTGATAAATGCATGGAAACAGCTCCTAATAAACACCGTAGGGCCTTTGCTCTCCCTCTTTTTCTGTGTCCCATGGCAGCATCTGATATAGAAAAAGAGTGCAAAGAGAAAGGCTGGAGAAGGAGGGAAGCCAGGGAGAGGATGAGGGGGAGGAGGAGGATGGTGGGTTTGTCTTAGCTTTCATGCACTAGGCAAGCAGATTTAGACTCCAAGTGTCAAACAGAAAAACAGCCTTTGTGGTTGGGTCCTACTTGCCCCCCTACCAGTAGACTTTACAGTCAATAGAGCTAGTCTACTTGTCACTGAGGGACAATGTGTCCCTTTGCCTCCCTTTCAGCCCTGCTGGGTCCAAGCAGCCAGACAGTTTTCTGAATAAGACCCAGTGATTCTTGGCCCCTTTTCTCTGCCTCTCTTTCTCTTGATGGACCACACCAACAGGGCTTGGAAAATGACTTCGCTGTTGGGCCAGTGCAGAAGGCCAGACCCTGTTATTTTTGACAACACTGGCATTCCCTCCACCCTCATGTACCCACAGAGTAATGAATGTATCTTAGGCAGTTGCAAAAGTCAATGGGCCTCCCCAGACAAAAGAGATTAAGTTTGGCAACTTAGCAGTAACAGGTGTACTTTGACGGTGCTTGGACCACACGGGGGTGACTGCTGTTGTCTGGCCCATTGTTCCCTTTGCCTCCCTGTTGGGCCTCAGTTGCGTGAAGATAAAGATGAAATTTGTTTTGTAGTCTCAGACGAAAAGAATGCTTCAGACCTCATCAAAGTTTTAGCCGAGAGCGCGTCTTGCCTAGCTGTCCAGTACTGGCCTCTTCTGGTTTTTACTGCTTTTGAAAAATGCAGCCCAGTTTTGCCACATTTCTCCTGTGATTTGATTTGCCAAGTTTTCTCCAAAGGGGTTCTGCAGATATCTTTAGATCTCGAGCTGTGCTCACCCAAGGGAGTGAGTTAAGGGTAAACAATGCAGGCACACAGAGGAAGGAAGAAATATCAGAGGGTGTGCAGCACAGCACAGAAGCATGAATACATTTTCACATTTAGAACCGAGACAGTGATGTTCTAAGAGGGGAAATATCTCTCAAAGAGAATGAGTGAAGCCTTTTCTATCCATACCTTCAGTATTTTCAACCACAATAAATTGAGTCATTCAGCAACAGTACAAACAGAGACACTCTCAGAGCCACAGCAAAACAGTGCATGCATTTATTTGTTTCAGTCGTTAATAAAGCTTTTACCGAGAGCCTTGGTCCTCAAAAAAAAAAAAGCCCCTTTTGTTGAAATGACTTGGCAGAGCAACCGATGGAGGGTCTGTTCACACCAAAGCTGCTCCTGCTGCCATTGTCTAGCTCTCTCTCACACACCTACGAGTCCAGAGTAAGCACACAATTTCATTGTTGTGTGAGCTGTTAATATCACAGGCTTCACAATAGAGCCCATTCGCCATATTTGCATAAGGCACTTTTCCAACAAGGACCCGGAGAGGGCTTGAAAGCTGGCCCACTCCAGTGCCAATGGCAAAAAATGTCAAGTACCAATTAGGAGAGGTTTGCCACCATTCAGCAGTACCCCACCCCTGTAGCTCTCACCCTCCCTGCTTACCCACCCCAACTCTCTCACACTCCAGGTCACCCCAGTTTACCACCTTATTCCAATTTCAGATGTAGCCTTCCCCTACTGACACCCAGAGACAAAAGCTGTTCCCTTCTCTGTGGGCTAATGGAGGGTCCTTTCTGCTGGATGCAGAGTATTAGCAAAATCAGACAGTGTGCTCCCTTCACCAATTAGTCAGCTTTCTTTGTTGATTTCTTTCAATAGAAGGGTTCAGGAACTATGTGGCTAAACCTGTGAGACTCCACCTGCTAGGGACTATTGAATTTAGCAAGCAGGCTGCATTGTGCTACTTTGGTTTAATACTCACAGGTTTGCATGGGCAAGTTTATATAACTGAGGGAAGGACTTTGGTAAAGTCACTGATGTCAAGCAATAAAAAATAACTCCCTCCAGCTGATATCCACAGTCTGTTAGTGCTGACTGAATTCAGCCACCACAGACTTAAGACTTACTTTAAACTTGCTTATTATTTTGCATTGCACATACAGATACAGAGCATCCTATTATGAGAATGGCTGCAGTCAGAAACTATTTAAAATGAGAGAACCTGCTTTGAGTCGGGCCAAAAGAGATACATAATAACAATACAGTGGAATTTACTAGAACCAAAGTTACAAGAAAAACGAATGGCACTGTTTGCAGTTTCCTGGTTTTCTGCATAAATTGATCATTAAATGTGATGTTCACCAAAGTCACAAATATCAACAAACACAATATTTCTAAGCTGATAAAACACAAACAGTCCTGATCTTTCATGTCTTTATTGAACACATCCGTTAAACATACAAAGTGATGGTGGAAAAAGTCATTGCAGCAGTGTTTTAATAACTGGTTGAACCACCTCTGGCAGCAATAACCTCAAGCCAACACGTCCTGTAGCTGTGGATCAGACCTGCACAACGTTTAGGAGGAATTCTGGATCATTCTTCCTCACTGAGCTGCTTCAGCTCAGCCATATTCTTAGAACGTCTGGTGTGAACGTCTTGAGGTCATTCCACAGCATCTCTACTGGGTTGAGCTCTGACTGGGCTGCTCCAACAGGCAGGTTTTGTGTCTTCGAAGTCACTGTGCAGTAGATTTACTTTGATGTTTAGGGTCATTGTCCTGCTGCATCACCCAGCTTGTTCTGAGCTTCAGCTTGCCAACAGCCACCCTGACAATATCCTGTAGGATACTGGGGAATTCATTTTTCCTCCACAGTGGCAAGCGGTCTAGGTCCAGAGGCAGCAAAGCCACATTGTGATGCTGCTCCACCGGACTTTACTGTTGGGATGACGTTTTCATGTTGGTACATCTTGTTACGCCATACGTAGTGCTGTGGGTTCTTCCCAAACATTTCTACCTTGGTTTCATCTGTCCACAGGACATTTTCCCAGCGGAGTTGTGGAGGGTCACGTTGGTCATTGGCAAACTTCAGGCTGCTGCAGTGTTGTTTTTAGAGAGCAATGGCTTCCTCTGTGGTGTCCTGCCATGGATACCATGCCTGCATCTGGTTAACTCATGAACAGAGATGTTAACTAACTCCATTGAATCCGTCAAGTGTTTAGCTGTTACTCTAGGGTTCTCCTTTACCTCACTGAACGTTCTGCATTGTGCCTTTGGAGTGATCTTGGCTGGGCGCCCAATTTTATGGAGAGTAGGCACAGCACAGTGTGTCTAACTGTGGACTAATGGATATCTAAAGTCTTTGAGATGACTCTGTGACACTTTCCAGCTACAGCTAATCAACAGCTCCTGATAGTAGCTCTTCTGAGATCTCTTTTTTGTGAGGCCTGGCTCACATCAGCTGATGCTGCTTCTAAACAGCACACTGACACTGTCTGAGTGTTTTTAGAACTCAAGGTCGTTCTAAACCATGCTGCCATTCGTGTTTCATTGACTGGACTCCAGGTTTGCCAACACCTGACTCCAGTTGACGTTTAGTGACGTCAGAAGCCACGTGCTACCACGACTTTTTCCACCATCAGTGCATGTTTAATGGGTGTGTTCAATAAAGACATAAAAGATCAGGAATGTTTGTGTTTTATTAATTTAGAAATAGTATTTTGTTCATATTTGTGGCTTTGGTGATGATCAGATCACATTTCATGACCAGTTTATGGAGAAAACTAGGAAACTGAAAACAGTGTCATTACTTTTTCTTGCAACTATGTCAAATCCATGTCAGCTTAACTGCTGAGTTTTAACAATATTGAACAGCTGTTTACAATTTTACCAATGCTAAATATGCAGAATTATTTCCACTATCACTTAACTACAGCTGTCAGGTGCAAAGTACATGGTGACAGGAACAGAGAGCATCTTCAATGTCCTTGAATTTAAGTAACATGGTGTGTACATTGAGGAAGGCTCCGCTACGAAAGGGAGGGACATCAAATAAATAAAAAACCTGGTATCCCATAAAAAGACAAGGATGCAGCAAATTTAAAAAAGAAGAAAATCATCATGTTTGCCCAGTCTGGCTGCCGTTGTTTTCCACCGAGCGTTCACCTAACTTACCGCCTGCTGCCACTCAAAAGGATTTTTCTCTTGTCCCTTTTTCTCTTTCATTCTTTCATTCAGTCTCTGTGTCTAGATTTTTTCTTTCCCACCCTTGATTCTCAGATGGTTGGATCTGATTTGCATGCATTTGCATAATGAAAGTCATTTGCATGCTCAGGGGCAGACTGTACCATGAGAACAGACATGAAAAGGTGTGTGTGTGCACGCATGTGTATACATGCATTCATGTGTGTCCATGGCTTGCATTCATGCGCTTCTGTGAACTATACATGTGTGTTTTGATGGATAAACTACCTTCTTAATATTTTCCCTCTCGCCCTCTGATTTTCCCTTCCCCATTTTCTGTGCAGGCTATCACCACGACACCACTGAAGGAAAGCTGGCAAAAGGAGGCTGAAAAACAGAGACGGAGGAGGAGGGGTTGCTGTTGATTCTGCCTTCCCTTTCTCTTCTCCTTCCTCTGCATTGCCTCTTCCCACCTCCTCCTCCCTTCCTCGTTCGCTCCATCCTCAGCAGATTGCCCATTTTTCCTGTACAGCGAAACGCAGCCCGCGCCACCATCTTAGAGCAACGCTGGCATGAAATGGAAGTGGGAAGACCAGTCAGTGCAGGTAACACACCAAACCCACTGCGCCCGCCATGCTGCATTTTCCCACTGGCGCCACCCCAGCGCGCCATCCTTTGCTTTCCCACCTCCCTGAGCCCTCACTCCCCTTCTCCAGCATGCTATAGCTTGGGCTTTAATCACCTCGGATATGTTTGTTAATTGCACGATTCACAAGATGCACTGATGGATGGAGGGGAGGGCGAGCCGATGTGGGTGGAGTGTGTTTTGTATGTGTGCTTGCCTTAAATCACTCTGCTCTCAATGCCTCTCTCAGGCGGCTTTCAGTGGGCATCTGTCCTCAGAAGCGCCATGATTTCTCTCCCATTTGGGAATTTTCATGCCATCCTTACATGCATGCCCCGACATGGCGGCGGCTGCCATTTTGGAGATACCATGGGAGTCGTGCGTTCTGAACAGTAAGGGAGCAAACTCCATATAGTTCAGGACTCAAACATTAGTGCACTATAGTTTCACAGAGACATTAAACAATGTTATGTCTTTTAAATGGTATTTTGTTCCCTGCTGTAACAGAATTATGACTCTTAGATTCATTTTAAAAAACCTTTTCTGTTTTTCTTCAACTACTTAAATGAGTTCAGAATAAATGTCAAGGTGGGCATGTCGGTCGAGTGGAAAGTGATGATATCCATGAAGCTCTATTCACATTCTCATCTCACAGTCAGGGACACTGTAGCACATAACAAGACCAACACAAAGCAGCTGAGATGGAGACAGAGAGAGAGTGAAATAGCAGAGAAGAGATGGTGAAGAAGTGAGAAAATGGGACCTGGATAGGCAACGTCTCAGTACTGAAAAGCCTCTCTTTGTATGAGTGGCGAGTGTTGGAGGGCAGTCGGTGCTCAGACAAGTTGACTATTGTTCTCCCTCAGCGAGCTTGTTGTAGTGCAGCATTATTCCAACCGAGGAGCTCCCAACTTTGAAAACTGCTTATCAAAATGCCAATTAGCGTCGGCTGGGCTTGATTAAGTAAAGCAGCCAGTAAACAATGCCTGCCATTGTCCTCACAACAGAGAGACCTCCCTTTGTTTGAGCCTATGGTGTTGAGGTCAGAGACACAATGCTAATGCTAACTTACAGTAGGTGCCAGTCTATAGTGGCAACAAGAGACCACAGTTATCCCCATAGGGTCAAGGTGAGAGAAGAAAGGGGGACTTTTTGTAGATACAGGAAAGCACCTTATCATCAAAGATCAAAGCTGATTGTCCCAGTTTACAAGAGAAAGTCTAGATCAAAAATGAACTGGTCAAAGTTTGAAAAGTGTTTCATTTCACCCAAACCTTTTTACCTAAATTTCAGTACTGATTTATGATTTCTGTTTGGTTTTTTTTTACCCAGAGCAAAACTTAAGAGGTGGCACTTGGCTTTTCTTAGAAGAGTTGCGGTAACTGTGTCAAACCTGGGGCGTACTAATCACAGGCTTCCATAAACAGGTGGCAGATTGAGCAAAGAGGGCCGGAGCCGTTCTCAATTTACTGTGTAAATTATGCAGAGCCCAAAACAATGCAAACAGTAGACAGTGGAGTGGCTGGCGTTGGCTAATGAGATGATGAGAAGCCTGGAAGGGCTGGGAGTTGGTAGAGGTGAGGGGGTGGGCACAGCCGGCAGCTTGTGTCTGGTTTTCTGCATTTGTGTGTGTGTCTTCATGTGAATGTGTGTGTGAGGGTCTAGAGGAGCTTTGGCAAGGAAGCAGACACTGTCCCGTCTGCACAAACCCCACCGTCAGCACCCCTCCTGCCCAGACTGAGTGCTGCAGAGGGAGGGGAGGGTTAGCAGGCAGCTGGGGCACCCTGCCCCCCCAGGACCCCCAGCTTTGGGACCCTCTGTGGCAGCCCCCCCACCACCACCACCGCCCAGACACTGGCACGTAGGGGCCCCCCAAAAGTCTGGCTGCAATCTCCTATCACCCACATCCCTTCCTCCCTCGTTTCCTCAATTGCCACCACCCCTCCCACCCTAATGTGAGGCTGGGGGCCTGGGAAGGACTTCGGGTTCACGGCCAGACCTCCTATTGAGCTGACAGCCTGACTGTTTGCTCAGTTCGGCTCCCTATTCAGAGCTGAGCTGAACAGGGGAGTGTTGAGAAAGGGCTGAAAGATGGGGGGACTGCTAGCTGGGACACCATAGCACTGTGATAACTATTCATTCAGCAGAGCAAGTGAAGAGGGCTGGGGGGTTCATGTTGGGGAGCATAAATAAAAGGTGAGGAATCCAGACTCAAAGTTTGCTTTGAGCAGTGTGCACCTCTCTCACACTCTTTTAGACTCTTAATTACTAGTGCCTTCCACTTTCCTCTCTCCCTTTCTCTAGCGACACCCCCCCCCCCCCCCATCACACACGCACACTCCTCAACACACACAAAATCGCAATCATTCTCATCATCCTCTCTATCCCCTGGTTTTATTAGGCCACATGCTGAGGCTGTAAATTTACCATTAACAAGCTTATTCACTGTAGTCCTCTCAACAAAACAAGACCATGATGCCAATAACTCAAAGCGACACCAATACCCAAAACTCCCTTTTATGCCACCAACCTCTAGCCACTCCTCCTTCTCCCTGCTTCCTCCCTGGCCCAGTGCACACGCTCTGAACAGCGGTGTAATGCTAAATGCCAAGGCTACTGTTTGCCTGCTAATAGTTCAGCCCATCTTAATTAGCACAGTAGACGTTGATTTCTGTGACTAAGCTGGGCAGCTGCATTATCGGTTCACTCTGCACTCACTGACCTGCTGTAATATTTTAAGTTGCTTGTCTGAGCTGCTTGAAAATGTAGCAAGAAAGGGGGTTTGATAGCTTTCTGAAGTTCATCTGAGTCAGGCTCAGGGTGTGTCACATGCTTCCTCTTTGTATTTGCAGCTTGGTACCAGGCTCCCGTTAAGGCCTTTCAACCTCACCCTCAATCCCTTCAGCTGGTACATGGATCTGCTTTCTTCAGCCAGATTTAGGACACACTAGAAACACAACAATGTTATTTTCCACATTTAAAGAACAAGCCTTCTTTTGATGCACCTAAATTAAGGTTCACAGTCTGTCAGTCACTGTGTATTTTAACTCTGAGCATTCAAAGCTTTACTATGTCTAAGTAATATTTTTGTTTGCAGGTGAATGGACTCAGTGCATGGGGATCTGAAACAAACAGAGAGCACAAGTCAGTGAAAGTGGGACTCCTTCAGCCTAGAGTCAATAAGGATGACGATGCTGCTGTCTGCACATGCACAACTCCGTGGTGATTCCTGCCATGACTCTGGAACACGGCTGCACTGTTTGTACCTCTTCATGCTGCTGCATGACGTATTGTTTGACCCCACAGTCAAGATGAACTTGTGAACACTTGTGTTTAATCTGAGAAAACCTCATGTTGGACTATGGGAAACGAGGCTGGGACAGAAGATCAGCAGCTTGAGGTGTGAACAAGCTGGTCTGTGTGTATTTGGGGGTGTGCCACCAAATTTTAGCTATTATTCTCACTGTAGGTCATATTTGATGACTTGAGCTGTAGCCCACACTGTGTTTAATTTCTGTTATGTTGTAGTTGCTAGGACTCAAAGACACATGAATGTGAGACCCACGGCAGCAGTGAATAATAGTACTGCACTGCGATTGGACAGCTCCATGTGTCAGCTGACACAATGGCGAAGGAGTGAGCTGTTGTCTTTATACTCTATGCAACTGTGTTTTCTTTTTTTTTTAAATCTTGAATTCCAGATGAGTCAAGCTCCATTCCTCCCTGCTCTTGATTTTTTTTTGGGGGGGGGGCTACCAATTTATAGACATATCTTCAGACATCATCTAGAGAAATGGTTTTTGAGGAGTCTATGTTAGTATACTGATTCAGAAATTCCAGTGAGTGTGTGACAGATGACAGAATACAGCTCAGTTTCATGAGCAGATGTAGTGAATCTCATATTTGCAGCCTTAACAGACTTTGATTTGACTGTGCAGCCACAGTCTGAGTAAATGTGGACTCACACATTTAATATTCCTGATGTACAGAACGCACCACACTATTAAAACCTTCCCAGCAGGCTTTGAAACGCGGCAGTTTGCCTCATAGCAGTTACCTGCTTTACTGTAATGATACATCTTTGGTTGAGACATGACAAATACATTGGCTTCAAACACTGCCTTAATTTCCTGTCCTTGACATTAACAGATACACACACACACATGCCCAAATGCAATAAAGCAAATACTATCACAGCCTAATTCATTCTATATTAATTTTCAGGAAGTGGCAAATTTTTTATTACGACTGATAATCTATGCAAATCTTTTAAATATTACTTTAAACAATCTATGTCTATGCAGTGCTTTTGCAATTGATTCAAGGGAGACTATCTTGGCCTAATTTAGAAAATGTATTCTTTTGATAATCATGCACATCCCAGTGCTCAAGACAATTACTTATCTGCCTGGATAAGCTTGAAATTATGTTTTTAATCTCTAGCAAAAAAGTCACTCTTCTGATATCAGTCCAGAGGCATAAAAACCACAAATTGTGGTCAAAAATAATTAAATGGGTTGCACTAAATCTCTTTTTGTAAATGCAGATCAAACATATCTATTCAGTTATTTCTCTATATGCCAGAGTGTGTTTTATATAAGCAGCAGTGTTTGTGTTATGCAATCTAGTTGCTGTGAGCGAGTGTTCACCACATGTGCCTTTCTATGGAAAACTCTGTGGGAATAGTAATAAAGGTTTACACTGAAAACAATGGAAAACTGGCAGTTTGGCATGTTTTTCTTAATTTGATTTGCTGGATGGAGGTCATACACTGAGCAGTCACATGTGCTGCTGGAGTGTCCTTGAGCAAATCACTGAGCTTGATCACTGTTCTGTAAATCAACAGCGATGCAACTCGGTGAAACACATAAGTGTAAATATAAATATAAGTCTATCCAGGGAGACAGGAGGCAGAGTAACACTATCTAAATTTATCCAGTTTCTGGCAGCTTTCCTTAAACGTTTAGCTTTTTTTAATCACGTCTACAGAGAAATGTACTGCGTTTCAGCTCCAGCATAATGTTACAGCCAAATGAAAAGATTATCACAATTCCCCTGAGATCAAACAATTTTCAAAACATCATCGGGGATGTGGGTTTATTTTCTGTAGTGTTTGGCATCAATCTACATGGGGAAAAAGGCAGGAGAGGTGTGTCCTGTTTTAATGTAAATCTAATCAGTGCAAAGATGCTCTCTGATGCCTCAGATCTCACTTTGGTTGTATACATAAATAATAAGCCGATATACATGTACACACATTCCATTAATCCATTATTATTCCATATGTGGTGAGAACACAAAGGCGATGGAGCATTCTCATCTTGGTCAGTGATGATGTGCGTGCAGCCGTGCTGTGCAGGCCACCGTGTGCGGAGCAGAACACTTCCCCTGTGTGATTTGCTGTCTGACACCACATATGGCAAACACACCAAAACACCGACATATGGGCCCCTCACAATTCATTAGCATCGACATGTAAAAGAGAGTAATCCCACTGTAAAACAAACGAAACCCTTTACAGTACAGGTTGATCACACAGCTCTTTTCATTCATCCCTTCTCTTTTATGAAGCATCGTGTAATTCAATGAAAGAGGTTTTTAAGGCAGCTCCAGCGAACCCCCTGGGTGCCTGCATCCTCGGTGCGTAGCAGCAGAGGCTTTACAAGCCACTCTGCTCTTGTTTACAGCTGCACTGTGCGTTGAAATGAGCTGAAGTACACATAAACAGCAGCTCCATGCAAATATTACAGTGCCCTTATTAACCAGGGCAGGCTGCAATTACATTATGTCCCAGGCCTTAACATCCAGAGAGCGAGTGCCAGTCCTCTGTGACAACTCCTCTCACCCTTAGTGTTTCTTGGCAGCGTTATTGCCCTCATAATCTGATTCACAGTTTTTGTCATTCTGCCAGGAGGCAAGCTGCATTAGCCAAGCACTATAGGCCTTAATGAACTGAATGTCAGTGTTAAGCACACACAAGCAAGCTGGAGTGACGGCGTACAACCAGACTGTCACTTGCAGCCATGTTGGATCACTGTCTAAGTTATAGCTGTTTGCGCTCTGACACAGCAACAAAAACCTCCACCCTCCATTATGTTTAATGTGTTGAGCAATGACAAGCAGTGAGCAATGTGTGTAAGGAGCTGCTCTTATGGACAAAGTACAAAATGGCTGCTCGCTACATCAGATCATGAGGCTGATGGAATCATATTCCAAGATGGCTCCACAGTGACATTAACGCTACTTGGATCTGATTTGATGGACGAGTACAAAAGTGGGTGGGGTGGGGGACCCCAGAGTGGGAAATGACGGATTTTGGTGCATGTCCAAGGTCTAAGATCTTGGGTGCTGCTCCTTTCACAAGTTCCTCAGAATCATCATTGGTATTCAGGAATGTGCCCCTAGGAGGCCATTCTGTTTCATTTCGGAGGGAAACGTGATTGCAGTGGGTCACTGGGACAGAGGATGTGTGTTTTTGGATCTGTAGTCAGTGCCAAGAAAATGTGGCACCTTTCCAAATCTGTCCACTTTAGTGAGATGCCTCCCAGTGCCATAGAGCAAAGAAAAAATGTCTTTGGATGTTTTGAAGGGTACGTTGTCCTGTGAAATGTTCCATTGACAGTAATAAATGATTAATAAAGTGTGTGCGCATGTTGAGCTCCATTGTCTTGATGGACATGATCGAGCCTTTCTAGATACTCTACCCTTGGAATGATGGTACTGAGGCAGTGATGCATTTTACCTCTTGTATTCATAAAATACAACACTGATTTGGGTAAAGTTGTGTTTTTTGTCACACATCTAAATCTGTTCACTCATGATTGTTCCACTCAGATCAGACAGTACTCACAGGAGACACTTTCATTTTTGCTGTAACTACATTATCATCATGTGGTAATTAAGTTGAAAGATTGTACTGAAATGAAAAGCCTGTGAATGTGGTGCATTCAGGTGCTATCTTGTAGTTTGGGAAAATTATTTCACTCTAGCCATAATAACCGTCGTAGCCTTTGCAAATGCAACCACCTGGGGTTTAGTTTCTCACAGTCTTGGCTCCTGTGATTGGTTTACTTGCTCCAGGCAAAACCATACTGTTTGGGAACATCTTATTTACTTTACATGGAAATGTTACTACTTCAGTGCCCAGTGGAGAAATAACCCCAGCTGGCAACTCTTATGTACTACACACACTCAAGTCACAGAAATAATCTTCTGTGAACATGCAAAGTGAAACTTACTGACAGGCTTAACCATGTACCATCGTTTCATAACAGTCACCCAATTTCTGAAGGTCTTCCTCAAATCCTCATTTTCTCTTCTAATGATGCAGAATTAAAAATATTCTGGTCAAGTCCAGGAAAATATTATTTTAATCAGCGTCTCAATTATGTCTATTTGTCTAATGTAAACAAAGATGGTGACAGGAAATGACATCGTCACTCTGGCTTTTTTGTGAAAGTGACTTTGCTTTCACAACAAAAGCCAGAGACGATATCATTTTCTATCGCCATCTTTACTTTTCTGAAAAGCTAATTCTTTCACTGGAAAAACTGACAAAATGTATATTTTTCCTAGACCTGACCAGATTATTTTTAATTCCACATTGTTAGAAGTCTATGGAGATTCAGGAAAAACCTTCAGAATTTGGGGGAGTGTTATGGAACGACGATATGAGGTTAAAATGTTTGGGTGGTCTCAGTTTCACATATTCATGGAAGATTATTTCTGTGAGTCTATTGAATGTAATACACAAGAGTCACAAGTAGATACACCAAGCTGACATAAAAGAACTAGCAGCAACAAGAGTTGACTGCAGTGTGACCTCACATTGCCTTTGTCTGGGCCAGTCAGGTTGAAAAAGTGGCACACCATGCACACTACAGCCAGTGGCCAACTAACATATACTTCTGTGCTTATGTAACAAAAATAACTCCCCCTACCAGCAGGTGGTGTATCTGTATTCAACATTCAGAAAGGTAAAGAAGAGGGTGCCCCATGGCAGAGTGGTCCAACCTCTCACATTTATTGCAGATCTCCCTCGTTTCTTGTCCACCTCTCCAAAATCATTATAAATACAGACTAAAAAGCCCCCCCCCCAAAAAAATACAAGCATAAACAGCATAAACAAAGTAGCTCTTGTTCCACACAGCTGCTGTTTATGGCCACTTCTAATCAACAGTATGTCTGATAAGAAGTTGTAAATGACTCTGCCGTTCTCTGTCCGTGGTTCTTTTGGTTGTGGAAGAAGAAAGGATGTGGTAGAGGTGAAACTGCACTAAATGGGATAGTACAGCGACAAGTTGAAGGGGATTTGCCAAACTGCTCTCTTCTCGTGCACTGATTCATTAAACTAAACAGCCAATCAGAGTGGTCTCTCTCAATGACAAGGTCCAACGTCTATTCAACATGCCGAATCAGCTGAAAAGCCACCGAGAGGGTCCGACTAGTGCCAACAGTGCGGGACACACTGGGAAGACAAACCCTGAGTTGCTCTCTAATGGCCGACCATCAGCTTGGTGTTTCATGGGAAGATACCTGAGAGAAGATACCTGATGCAGGAAAGCAAAGAGCCACATGGGAAACTGATTAGATCCCACTTGGCAAGTGATGATTTGCTAATTTGTCAGTGAAATGGCATCTAAGCTAAAACTGAGCTAAATATAATTGAAAAGTAAAAGTTTTGGTGTGTGTGTAAAACCACAGTTTCAACCAGTGGTGTAAAGTACCTTTAGTGAAGTTACGCCTCACAGTGAAACAGTCACACTAAATCTGTGCTTCAGTAAAATTTCTGTAGCATATAAAACTAAAACATGTATATCATGAAGGTGTACTGCAGGTACAGAGCTGAAACTATCTGTATATCATGAAAGTGTACTGCAGGTACAGAGCTGAAACTACACTAGGGAAGAATTTCATTGAAGGAAAAACACACTTCAACATGTGTGTTTTACAGAAGATACATTTAAAATCCTCTGCAGTGCATGAG